CAGACTTCAGAAGAAGTCAGAAGTGAGTCTCTGTCTTATTCATCTCTCCAGGCTCATGAATGTTTAATAAGCAGTCACTTTCCTGCCCATGAGGACACCCTCCAGCACCTGGCTGCTTTACGTCTGCAGTACCTGTATGGGGATGTGTCTCGGGTGAACTGGAGCTTGGACAGCGTCTACCCCACCGGCCGTTTGCGCAGCCGCATACTTCAGTTCACCAAAGTAGGAGGCGCAGCCGGATCAGGACAAACCCTGGAAAGGAGGAGAACGAGCTTCCTGGACGGCACGCTGCGGCGGGGGCTGAAGACAGGCACCATGAAGAAGCAGCGCAGCATGCAGGAGGAACAAATGCTGGAAATGTGGATCAAGGAAGAGACTTCAGCCACCAGGGCCAACATTATGGAAAAATGGAGTCGGCTGCATGGACTGGATCAGCACCAAGCCATGCTCAAATACATGAACATCATTAAAGAGTGGCCTGGGTATGGATCAACGCTGTTTGATGTGGAGGTAAGAACCGAGGATGAAACATGAGGATGTAAGATGATTACATTAATTGAAATGGTCAAAAATGGTCAAGTCTCGGTGACCCCACTTTACACTTGACATTTACATTAACATGCATTTTGAATCCAGGATAGTATCTGGATACTTTTTCGATTGGCTAATCTGACACTTCTTGTGATTCTGCGTGCAGTGTAAAGAAGGTGGTTTCCCTCATGATCTCTGGCTGAGCGTGAGTGCCGAGAACGTGTCTGTGTATAAGCGAGGAGAGGCCAAACCTCTGGAGACTTTCCCCTATGAACACATTGTCTTCTTTGGAGCTCCTCACGCCAGCACATACAAGATCACCGTGGATGGGAGGGACATGTTCTTTGAGACACCTCAGGTAATCAAATGTCATTTTAAACAGATTGTTCACCCAAAAATGAATATTCTGTCATCATTTACTCACCCTGATGTCGTTCCAAACCCATAAGACTTTGGTTAATCTTCAAAAGAAATGAAGATATTTCTGTCCCTCCATTGAAAGCTCATTCACCAAAACTTTGACATTTCAAAGAGTTCATAAAGACATTGAAAACATAATCAGTATGAAGCAAGCAGTTTAATCCAAGTCTTCTGAAGAGACATGATTGCTTAAAATGAGATTTAATTTAGGCCTTTATTCACATAGAAACTTTGATCAGCGCATATACATAGAGCACATTAAATATGGTAAACGGAAACTCAAGCATACTACAATGAGGTTTGTTCTCACATGTCATGTTTGAGCTTCCACAAGAACCAATATGGTTTGTTCTCTTGTATCACACCGTTTACCACGTTTAATGTGCTGTATGTTTGTACTTGGGTTTAACCCTTCATTCATAAGAATTACATCACATTTTTGAAGCTTCAAAGTTTTGTTTTTCGAGAATACGTTTTGGAACGACATGAGTAAATGATGACAGAATTTAAAATTTTTGTTGTGAACTATCCCATAATCAATATGTAATTGAATAGAAGTGTTTCTTGGTTTGCTTTCTTCAGTTTTGTTCACTGTGAATAAACTGTGGCTTGTTTCAGGTTGGAGAGATCACCAAGATAATGAAAGCCTACATCAACATGATAGTTAAGAAACGATGCAGTGTCAGATCAGTGGCCAGCTTTGGGAGCAACTGGATCAGGTGATGAGTGCTGACCAATCACAGTCAAGACGAGGGAGACTTCCTTCACACTGATGGAAAAATGAACTCCGCAGGGATGTGGATTGATGAATATAAGATGATGATACAGGAACCAGTGATAAGAAAATCTGCATGTGTGTAGACAATGATACTCTGACAACGTATCATGGTTGAAGTTTAATATTCAGTTATGTGAAGTAGAATTTTGGACCAATGAGATTCCACTGTGGGCGGGGCTACTAACAGACTGTCCTGTCAATCATCACTCGTTCCTTTATCCCATCACGCCTGGTTAGTACGTGATGCAATGCTAGTTGACCAGCAAATGTTCATCGCCAATACCTCAAAGTCCTGAATGCTTCAACATGCTCCTTTCTGCTTTTCTGATCTTGGCCAATTTCAGTTTTGAACACTCTGTGAAGTGAAAAGATCAAAACACGGTCTTAAATGTTACACACAAAACAATGTTTTGTTGAGAGCTTTCAAAGACTAATAGCCTGAGGTGATCGAAGGCCTCAACAGCCATGTTAAAACTTGTCCATTTGCCTTACTCCGCACAAGGACTGGTCTGTGCACATTTGTGCCATTTAGATGGCTTCCTGTGTTACTGTTTATCTGTTACTGTTCCTTAGGTTCAGAGGATGAGGAAAAGTTTTTCTGCCTGTCTTGCCATTTTCATCCATGCATTATCTCATGTATTGTGCATGAGGGGCTATTCAAACAGAGCGTGTTTTTGCAGTCCACTGCACTGCTTTTCCATTGATGTATTTCTATGTATATGTAAACATACGTTAGAAGTGCCGTGTCTTTTGTCTCGTACATGACACAGCGTCCTAAAAATGTGGCACTCGAGTTAAACGTTTTTATAAAAACATGTCTCTAGACCCCTTGTCTTGCATTTTTGATATCCAACTTTGCTGCATTTCCATTGCTGTGTTTTTGTTTACTTAGAAAAACAGTCAAACATGTCCATTTAGCACGTTTACACAGAAAAACAATGGAAAAAATGTGTCGTGTGAACGGCCTCTTCTGGGTTAAGCTCAGGTACAGTATAAAGACATAAGCAATATCTCAACATTTCAGTGCAGTGTTGTACTTGTTATAGCAACGTGATCTGACTGGAAACTGGTGGAATACCGCTGTACTGATATTTGCAGAAAAGCTATGACTCTGTGCTATTTCACAGTAGGTCAGTTGTAAATACTTTCTTTCAAGATAAATTGATGCATTTCAGTTTATAGGTCAAACCTTTTTTGAGACAGATGTTTGGAATATGCTTGTCTTTTTTTCTTAAGAATGTTTTTTAAGGAAGCCTGCATACTTGTAACTGAAGGATGACTTTGTGTGCCTAAAAAGAGAGTGAATAATTATGGGTGGGCTGGGTATTTATTCAGTGTTAGTGTCATTGTATGGATGGTGATGTTGAGTTGATCGTATGTTGTGTACAGACTCCCTACATCAGTAATGCAACACAGTGATAATATAAATGGAGGATGTCACATTTATGTGGTACCACAACCTCATTCAAAGTTCTGTTATTGCTCCATTAATAAATCTGTTGAGCTGCTGGTCAGTTCACTGCCAATGTGCGTGTCATCATCTTTAGTTTAGCGTCAAAATATTCCAGTTTGTGTAGAGGATGCAAATCAAAACAATTTTTTTTTTTTTTTGTAACTGGATTTACAAAATGCTTAATAAATTATTTAAATTCCAGATTGGTGTGGATTATTTAAGTGCTATCAAATTAACTTTGTGCTCCGCTTTTCCACAATCTCATGCATATGATATACAATAATAAATTACAACTTGCATTAATTCATCCCTTGTAATAAGAATATGTTTGGAGATTAACTGTTTGATTTTGTTTTTGTTCAACTTTGTTACAAAATATATAAAGATGAATATATAATATAGAGATGAACAAAAAGGTGCATTGCTGTGGATTTTAATTTCCCTATGAAGGCATAGTGGTCCATTATCAGCATGCATCATATCAGGGTGTTAGAGATATTTACAGTATGGACTCAGGGTCCTGAAGAGTCTTCGATTCTCCGGTGCAAGGCAATGTGTCCACAAAGTGTCTTCCCTTCAAATATGATAACTGCACAGGTTCAGTCAAAGATTTGTTTTATAGTGTGCTTTATGAGCAACAGCACTGTGGGCAGTAAATTCTGAAGTCATATGTTTTACTCAAATATAAATCCCCGCCTTTCCTGTATGCTCTCTCCTACACACAACATACTTTTTAGCTATGATGAATTACAGCAAAAAAAAATTTAAATATCAATACATAAAAATAAAGTTTCTTGATATAAAAAAAAAAAGTTCGTTCAGAGGCAGAACATGTTATTGCACTTAGCCTAAAAGATTACAAATATTTGTTTTACAAAAATTAGCCATTTAAAAAAGTTTACAGATCGGTTCATGTGTATTCCAAACTCATGTTTTTTTTTTATGTAACCTGTTATATACTTGTAATAAATCCACATTATTGCTCGTCAGAAAAACAACAACTAAATCATAGCTTTAAATCCTGCTTAACCATAAACCACTATTTCTAAACTCGAAACTGGGAGGTTCTTGAAAAAGTCGTCGTTCAGTCCTTCCAGCAAACACATGACCAGCCAGGCCTGAAATCAACACAGACCCGCTGTGTTTGCCATCATGATCCAAACTCGGGCTTTTGTTTTCTTTGCCTTCAGTTTTGTAATAGTTTTTGGTCAGACGACAAGTCCAGCATCGAGTAAGTTTCAGCCATACTGCTGTGTGTTTACAAGCGTTTTAACCGTATAGATATGGTAAAACAATGGCTTAGTCTTTACTTGTCGAACTCTCTCTACTTGGGTCGCATTTTGGACATCAGCTCATTTCGCACAATCGGTTCAGATTCAGAAGTCGCTCATGATGCCCAAATGCTGTCTGTGTCGGCAGCTCTCAAGGTTTTGAAACGCAGCCAATGTTTTTGCAGTTTGTCTGGCCAGCAGACATTTACTGAATTAATCGTCCAACATATCGTCTGATTTCTTAGAAATCGTAATGTTTTAATAAGAAGTCATGTATAAGCATAACTGTTTAACGACAATACTTGGAAGTGACTTAGCTGTGATCATATGACTCAGTAAGTAAAGCAAATCGCTTTAACACTCTGGACCACGAGCACTGTTTTACTTTTTGACATTCCTTTTAAAATATGACTACAGTTGTGTTTAGAGAGAGAGAGAGAGAGAGAGAGAGCGAGAGAGAGAGAGATTTACTGCTATTAATTGTTAATAACAAATCACTATAACATTGTAACACATAAGAAATGATTACATTTAATTTCCCCTGAAAATTTGAAAGGTCTAAAAGGAGTGATGAGCGAATGGAGAGACAAGCTCACCTGAGAAAGTTCAGCCAAGAGGAGAGGTACGGTTTGTTTTGAGAAAATTAATTTCATACGTTTGATTATTTTGTTAAGAATTGTGGAGACCAGTGAGTCTTGTCTTGATGAAATAGTGCTCAGTAAGAAAAAAAGTTCTTTATTTGATTGCAGGAAAGCAGAGATGAGGCAGAGGCATGAAGAAATGAGAAACAAATACGGTAAGACTTCTCTTTCATCATAAATGATATAAAATAAATAGTATCTTTTTACTTCACTGTAGTTACACTGTGTTTCAGAGTTTTATCTGTGCTCCCTCTGTTTTAGGTTTGAAAAAGGATAACCCGTACTCCAGATTTGAGAATAGCTAAGAAACTTCTGATGATGCACCACTGTTGTCTTTTCTTTTACCTGTCGTAAAAAGAGAACAAATTCCCTGCATATCCAGCACTCCATTTTTCTTTGAGTTAGAAAGATCCTAAATATACCAGTTACCAGCTGACCACACAAACATACATTGTTGCCTTTGGCTTGAAATTTAATTCATTCACACTTGGATTTTCAGTTAATCTTCCAGCAAACCTCAATTTAGATGTATTTATGAAGCCTTGTAAGTATAGTACATTAATGACATTTGCAAATCCAAATAAGCATCAAACAAATTAAGCAAGACATGTTGATGATTGAGTCTGCATTGGACTTTGCCTGTTGATTGGTTGGCTGTACATGAAATTCATTTTTTATTTAGCCTCAGCAGATTTTAGTTGTGTAGCATTTTTACTCTGATTAAACTAGGACTTGTCTTTCATAAAGTAGACCACGTGCTATAATCCAGTGTGCTTTATAGATTTATCTCCTACACATTTCATATGCTTTCTAAAGTGAAATTGATTTGTCTCTGCCTTTGCTAGTTTGTTGGCATTTCAATATAATTTGCCTGTGTGCTGCATTTTTCAGTGTTTTGATTACTAGCTTATTAAAAGGGGTTTATTTGTCAGTGCAATTTACAAAAGTCAGATAAACTGTGAGAAAGAAAACAATAAAAGTGAATATTGTACATTTGTTTTCTGTTTACTGTATATGATAAAAATGTAAAACTTTTTACCTAAATCATATTGGTTGTATTGCTAGTAATTTTGTGACACATTAAACATCAACTGTACAATTTTTTTCATGTTTTTTTTTGGATGATGTAAGTTTATTTATTTATTTATTTTATATGTAATTTGATATTTTTTTATATATAGTTATTTTATATGTAATTACATTTGAAATATATCATGTTTAATCATGTTTTTGTTTTTATACATGAGACCCCAAAGAAGTAATGTAATATTTTTCATTAAGCAAAAGTAATACACATTATCATGTTGAAATTATGTTCATAACTGAAAGTAATTTGTAGTTAAAGAGCCTCAGAACATGAGGATTGGTCACGAGGCGTCATACTGTCCAATAAAATGGACGAGTTGGTTTTGCGCGTTCTCGGGCTACGGCTCCCTGCTGGGGATCACGTGGTTTTACCCGGGCCAATCAAATGAGGGAATCCGGTTTGCGCGTTCTTGCAGAGCGCGGGGAGGACAGAAGCGGGTAGCAGCGCACTTGTGTTACCGTCACATCCACATTACCGGGAGAATCCTACATTTCTACAAAAATGTCAGAAGAGAAGCCAAAGGTACATGCATGTCTCTGTGTTCTGAGCTCCAGCAGCACGGAGAGGTATATTTTAATGTGATTATAATGCATGAATTTAGATGTCTGGATCCTGCACTTGATATGTGGGGAAACAAAGAGGTTTTCAACCAAGATTTTGCGCATTTTCCGCATATGGTCATGAAACTCAGCCATCCATCCAACTACATGGAGAATTATAACATCTCTTGTCGTTAAAAATTAACCGGCAGTATTTCGCTTCGTTTCAGCATCAACGAGATACTCAGATTGGCTTTCTTTCATGGCGGATAGTTGCTTGAACTTTGCGCCAAACGCAGTTGCACCGAAAGCGTCGCACAGTTGTTCACGTCGCAGCCCTTTTTTTCCAAGCAGTGTTTTAATAGATGCTGATGTTAGAGACTCAAGTCTGGTTGTTTAGCGCGTCGTTAGTCGCTTAAAAACGTGTTATTCAGTATCATAATATCTTATGTTGTGAATACAGGGACTGCATGTGAAGCATAATGTGGCTTTAGCTCAAATGTGATGTGTGTAGACCCTTCAGTGTGATTAAAACAACACGGTGCATGTTCATGATTCGTCTTTATTTAACACAAACTCTGCATGTTTCATTTCAGGAGGGCGTGAAGACCGAAAATGACCACATCAACTTGAAAGTGGCCGGTCAGGATGGATCTGTGGTCCAGTTTAAAATTAAGAGGCATACCCCCCTCAGCAAACTGATGAAGGCCTACTGCGAAAGACAGGTGAGACTGCAGCTTGAGCTCCAGTGATCCTTAGATCTGCACACATCATCTACTTGATCTAACTTGAATTTTTTTTTTTTAGGGTTTATCTATAAGGCAAATTAGGTTCAGGTTTGATGGTCAGCCAATCAATGAGTCGGACACACCTGCACAGGTTTGTACTCTTATTTTTGAATTTGGTACAGATGTGAGCAGCTTCTTATGGAAGTGTTAAAGGGATAGTTCACCCAAAATGCCATTATATGACTGACAAGACTGCAACGGTTTGAGTTAAAAATCTTCGTTTGTGTTCTACTGAAGAAACAAAGTCACCTACATCTTGGATGCCCCGGGGGTAAGCAGATAAACATCAAATTTTCATTTTTGGGTTAACTAACCCTTTTACTGATTAAAGGAGTAGTTCACCCAAAAATGAAAATTTGCTGAAAATGTATTCACTATCACGCCTCATCCAAGATGTTAGATGAGTGTGTTTCTTCATCAGAACATATTTGTGGAAATTTAGCATTACAGAACTTGCACTCAAATGGGTCCTCTGCAGTGAATGGGTGCCGTCAGAATGAGAGTCCAAACAGCTGATAAAAAAAAACATCACAATCCACACTATTTCTTTAATAAACATTTATGTATGCTTTCTTGCTATAAGGAGTGTAGTCCTAATCCTAGTTGTGTTCAGTAATATTTAATAGAGCCCGACTGATATATCGTTTAGCCGATATGAGCCTGTCGAATATGCTGCCGATATTACCGTATTGGCCCGAATATAAGACGACCCTGATTATAAGACGACCCCCCCCCTTTTTCCAGGTGTACCTTTTGGAAAAAGGCTTTTTAAAAACCAAATCTGTTTTTTTCTCAGTAAAACACATTTTGTCTTCAATTATTTTCATATTGCATATTTTTCCTATTTTAATTTGTT